ATGAATTTATACACTAGGTACAATAACGTAATGAAATATGTGATTGAAGCCATTACTACTAAGGAAAAATGAGTACGTGCATTTCGTCTACGCAATGTATTTGAGAAGTATCATAAAAGTCATTACAATTCCACTATTATCTAACTAGTAATCTCATATTCTCTCTATTTTACAATATTTTTCATATTATAAAATTTTCAGAGCAAGCAGAAATAATAATCCAAACCAAAATAAGATGGAGGGAAAATTTGTAACTTGGGCCTGGGTTTGCAGCTCTTGAAAACAATAAGAAAACCCAAAACCTTGTAACCAAAAAGACAAAAACCCAAAACCCCAAAGCTGAAAAGCAGATTCAATCCCTTAGAAAGTAGAGGGCATACAACAATGGAGTCCTTGGGTAGTCGGAGGCATGATGGGCCGAAGCCCGATTCGGCCCGATATTTAGGTTCAATCCATTTTAAGAATGAGTAGGGCTTCAAGAAAGAGTTTGAAACCTCGGTCCGCCCCAAAAAAACATGTCTAGTCCTGACTCGGCTCGCCCATAATAAAATAAATAATAAATAGAATAATAAAGTTAGCCCAATGGGCAGGCCTAGGCCAAGGCCTTGGAAACCTCGACCCGGCTCGAAAAATAAAAAACCCCATAAGACCTGGTCCAAATTCGAAAATTTCAAGTCGGGCACAAACCCTAGTTGAATGTATGAGCAATGTACTATAGCTTTTCTCAAAATGATAAAATATGATGAGCCCTAACATAGAGGTTAAAAAATTTAGCCCTGCACTACTTCTTAAAAAATAATATTTTAGAGGGCTATAACCCGGGGCTAGATTTAGCCATCATCATTGGAGATCGCCTTATGTTCCTCATCGCCGGCATCAGATTCCCCTTTTCTCCATTCTTCTCTCCCCATGGCCTTCCTCCACACCATGTATTTTAGTTTTGGTAGTTTTATGGGTTAATAAATTCTCTAAAATGGTTCATTTATCAACCAATTAAATGATTTGTTCATCATGTGGATGATTTTGGTATTCATGGGGTTTGGTTAACTTTGTTTGATGAATTGGTAGGAAAAATTTCCACAATACGAGAATTGTTTCATTTTTCAGGAACAGTTTATCAAACACAAGTAATAAAAATATCCAAAAAAATTTCACACCCATAAATATGTAACCCACTGTATTATTGCCCACGTCACATACAAAAAAATTTGTTATGAATTTACAATACTAAACACTCATATGTAACCATACACGCACTGGTTTGGTAGAACAATGAGCAAACATTTCTCACTACATATGGGGGCAAAATTGGTCTAAGACCCTTAATAAATAAACAAAATTCTCATACGTTATGTTTCAAATAGCGCTTTCAGATTGTAAGACGTAGTGGAATTGGAAGTTCCACTCCAGAATTGCTTGGCAAACTGCTGAAAGACCCTTTCAGTTGGATGACCAGAGTCGAAGAAGACATATTCACTAGCATTATGACACAGGTCATACTCTTTCACCTCTCTCTTTCCTCCACAGCTATAAATGCCTCCATATGGACCACTTCCACAGCATGCCACTTTCCCTTCCTCAAAACCTTCGCCGATCACAAAACAAAAATTGAACATTAATTCCTTGTTTCTATATTAAATGTCATCAAATTCACGGTTTGACAACATAAATTTAGTTCATATGAAGATTTTTCCAAGATATATATACGTACCATATTTAGAGGGGTGATTTATTCTTTCTATTAAAAACTCGTAAATTTGGGAAAGTGAGTATCTGAATCCCTTGAGCTCACTCTCTAGCTTCTGCAGGAGTTCGGAAATTGCTTTGTTGTGTAGTTTTACGTATGGTGTAATTTCTTCAAAGCAGGCACCACTTTCTCCCTGTACAATTGCTCTTGAATATGGTAAACAACCAAGAGGATCAAGGCCAAGAAACCCAAAATTCCTTCCTCCTTCCCTATATATTTCCTAATTCGTCAAAATGAATATTTCGTTTGTTAGTACTATATCCATCATGCATGCACAACAATATTATGCAATCAATACATTTTTTTTTAAAAAGTATGTACTAGCTAGGAATTTACTTTGATTACTGCAGTGATGTTGGCTATCACCAGGCCTACAAAATCCTCATGAGAGTAGGATCGAAGCACGCTGGAGTTTGTCTCGAACGGGAAACTATAATCGTTGCCTCCGACGCTAAACAAGTAAACGGCTCTTGAGAGCAGAGCCTTGGCTTTTTCATCCCCTAGTTTCTGCCTCAGCAACCTCTTGACCCTTTTGAAATACGAGAGTTGAGAATGAAGGTCTATCACCTGAAAGAGGGTTAAAGTTTGAGAAAACTAAGTAACCATTTTCATAAGGGTCATAGTTTTCAGAAGAAGAAAAAAAAGTTATAATTAAATGTTTGAGCCTACTATTCAATGTGCGGTTGGGTAGTTTACAAGTATATGTCTATTCTAAATATAAACTCATGCCAAGAGTAGGCAAGTCTTATGGAAGCGTTGACTTGCTAGATGTACCACATGTTTTCCACTACATTGGTTGGTGTACCACATCTCCATCAAAGGTGCATTGAACCCAATCATATGATAAATGTGGTGTAAGAAATGGGTGACCTATATATGCATTATGACTTTTCTTGTACAGTGTATCTGTAATTTACATTATAGGAAAACTAATTGGCGAAGCAAATGCATGCACCAAACTAACTCTTGATTTTGTGGTATTTTGATTCCTAATCCAAGTTTCGAATCCCTCCTTCCCCGGTGATTAAATAAAAATAAACAAAAAATTCATGCAAAATGATTTCACATACCAAACCTTGGCTAGTTTCAACCAGAGCACCAGCTCCTGCAGATGCAAAGTTTGCTCCATATGTAAATTGATGACTACCGGGTTGTAGATACGGTGGAATAAACGGCAACTCTGCATACTCAGCTGCAACAGCAAAATACTTAACTTTCAATTACCTACGTACCATTAACATTTCAGATTCTTTACTATAAGACACCATTTCTATGAGTTCATGAAGTATGTATATCTCTTACCAATAAAATCTGAAATTAGACGACCGTCCGAAAATCGACCCGTCGGGTACTTGAAGAAAGTTTCACCGTATGGCCAATAATTTGCCCGCAGAGTAGTGTTGATATAGTTGTTATTCCCGGCATCAAAGTATGAATCACCAAAGAAGAAAAGGGGTACATGTTTGTCAAACCCAAGATGGCCTTGGCTTTGGGTTGCCATGAGAAGAAGGCTAATGCTTGTACAAAAAGCGAAGACAGAGACTTGGAAGCTTATATTTGCCATACTTTTTTTCTTCTTTTTTATTTTTTTGCTTTTGTTCTGAATTGCTAGATTTAATCTTCAACTTATCTTGAATTGCTATTTATAGGGACATTTGGAGGCAGTTCTGCATGCGTATAAAAATCAATGACCTTTTCTTTTTTTTCTTTTTTTGTGTATAAAAATCAAGCACATACCTATTCTCTTTAAAAAGTCCAAATCAAAACAATCCAGAAGGAAGATACGTAAGCAAACAAATATTTTACTCTATCGCATTTAAATTTGTTTCCTTGCCACCTTCTTCTCAGACTTTAAAATATTATTGTTTTCATTTTTATATGTTTGATATGGTCTTTTTATATAGAAATTATTTTTAGAAGTACCATTCTGTGAAGTTCGTCAACAAGACCTACTAGAACAACAGTTTAAATAGAAATGGCCGGAAATGGGAGGCAATCGTGGCTTGGAGAGGATCATTACTTAGAGCATCTTCAAGGAAGATGTAAAATGTAAAATGTAAAATGTAAAATTTGAATTTAATGGCTTTTGTGGCAATTTCACACTTTGGAAAAAATTTAACTTCACCTGAAATGCTAAATATTATATTATTATATTTTTAAAAACAAATTGGGCTCATATGATGTATAAAGTTTTAAAAGAGAGTAAATGATAGTGGGGTTCATGACTAAAAAATATTAAAATAACATTTGACATGAAGCTTTTTGATATGTTATTTTTAACATATCTCTTTCAGCCTTCAAATTCATGTAAGATTTGACTACTCAGTTGGAGCAACTTTAACCTTCAATTTTTACTATTTTATGTTCATGTGGCAATTTGACACATCGGTTGGAGATACTCTTACATTAGTGTAGTCGATCGAGTACCTCAAATCTTAAATTGAATATAGTTTTTGTTCCCTATTCCAATCAAATACCAAATACAAAAACTAAGCTATGTCCTAAGGGATTAGGCAAGTGTCTCTACACATGCAGGCTCAATCATCAGAATTTTAAAGTTGTATTTTAAGTAATCTTTAGACAGACACGTTAAGCTCTTGACGAAGCTCTTGACAAGTTAGAAAAGAAAAAGTGCAAATAAAATCTTTCCAATTGTTTCTTCTTCTTTCTGACATTTTCAATTGACGGACATTACTAATTTAAATTTATACCAAAAAGGCAATAGACTGAAATTATAAATACTTAGCACCTTGTTCATGTCGTAAAAATTGAGTAATCAATCAAAGACAAGAAATCCTCAAACATCACTGAGGACGGCTTCATCTATTTTTTTTAATACACATACCCAACTACTCCTTGAAAACTAATAAAGTTTTTTTCTTTTTGTATAAAAAAGTTTAAAACTATTGTGACATATTTAATAATTCTGATCATTTTGGGTGTTTATCTCGACAGTTTTACTTGAAAAAGATAATTAAATATAATTTATAATTTCGTTGCACTTTTAATCATAGTTCTTCCAGAAGCAAAGACTTATTTTGGCTGCGGTGGTCAACCAAAGTAGCAAAAGATACATGTCTAATCTTCAATTACAGCTAAGCTGCTCCATCTAATTTTAATTTTAATTTACCAAATATTGACATGTTCAAAGTCACATGTTATAATTCTGGTGGAATGAGCGCGTAAATGTACCACTCCAAAAAAGGCTAATAATTTAATATGTCACAATTTGTGATTTGATGCAAGGATTTAATTAGAAGCCTTGGAGGAAGAGATCCTTGAGACTGTATAGACCCGTGGCATTGGAATCCCATGGCCGACCACTCCACATTTGATAGGCCAATTGCTCGTAGACCTTTTCAGTGAGATGGAGAGAATCCCAGAACACATGTTCATTTGGATTCTCACACAATTCAAACTCCTTCACTATTCTTTTTCCTCCACAGCTGAACACCCCTCTATACTGCCCTGTCCCACAGCATGCTGCTTTTCCTTCCTTGAGACCTTCCACCACAAACAATTACAACATTCAACATTAATTTGCAGCACAAATTTATGACCAAATAAGTTTGCATAAACAGAAGCGTTTTGTTGAAACACATAAGTACAATCATTCCCAAACGAGTCTGTGCGCTGATTAAGAGAACAAGAACATGGGCTTCTAAATGCACCCAACAATTTGATCAGTGCACTGATCTAGAAAATTTGCTCAACTTTACTTTATTGAAAAAGAAAAGTGAAAACAAAAGGAGACAGCAATATTTTTTGAAAATTGTTAAGGATAGTCTCCCACATGCACGTAACACGTTGGTGACTCTAAATCATTAATGCATTGTAAACTTCGCTTACATTAACGGTTGAGAGTAACCCGGGTGAACGTAGAGAACTTTCCCAAGCACTCTTTTGTCATTGGTACGCTCAAGGTCAAAAAAGAATTTGGTCCACCATCAAATTATTGGACCTGTTGGTCCACCAGACACCTGACACTAGTACAAGGGATTGTCTTATCGGCCTGGCCCACTTCCCTCACTGGCAAGAATAAGCATGGTCCAGGCCCTATTTTCAATAATGTACTGAAAACTCTGGTGATATTATTAGACTGAAGACTTAGGACCCATATGTTTATCCAATCAATGAATTGATAAGACAAGTTTTACGATGATTGGTGTGGATTGAGTACGTACCATATTCGGAGGGATGTCTGGTTCTCTGCCTAAGATTCCCGCTCAGGTCGTAGAGTGAATACTTGAAACCCTCCAACTGGTTTCCTAGCTGAATCAGAAGTTTGGAGAGACCGTCGTTGTGTAACTTGGCAAGTGATGAAACTTCTTCTAAGCAGCTACCATTGTTTTCTGGCTTGATTATTCTCATGCCCGGAAGACAACCTAAGGTCGGCAAGTTGATGAACCCAAATTTCCTACCCCCACCAGCATAAATTTCCTGCGAATTTCACGCCCAATCATAATATATAATAGTCAAACATGTGCACTTTATATATGTTATGCTATCACACTATGAATCAGCATCACTGATTAATAGCATCATGTGGAAATGTGTCGTTTCGACCAATAACATAACATATCAGATTATTTAAAAATATAACATTTCTTGAGAAATAAACTACTAATTAATTCATACTTGGATAACGGTTGTCAAGTTGCCAATGACCATTCCAATATATTGTGATTTAGAGTAGGACTTCAATAGGGGGGAATTGGTTAGGAAAGGGCTGATGTAATCGTTGGTTCCAATGCTAAACAAGTAGACGGCTCTTGAAAGTGTCACTTTGGCTTCAACATCGCCTAACTTGTGTCTGAACCACTTCTCTACCTTCTTATAATACTTCAGTTGTGTTTTAAGATCAATGACCTGAAATAGGAGAATATGAAAGTTCCATAACTATTTTCTACACTTTCTGAGTCTAAAGTAGATACAACAATACTTAAAACTTTTTATTTTCTCGTCTCTTATATGCGAAAGGGCTCATTTTGAACATTTAGCACTTCGAGAATTTCTTAGATGCAACGGTTGTAATATGACCTCACGTAACTAATAATAAGATGATGAGTAATTATTGTTACAGGGCCTTTACATTATTTAAATTCGAAACTTTTTTGAGATCACGACAATGTAAATGATTTGAGTACAGAGCCCATTAACAATGATTACGTGTCATTTCGTTATTAATTTCTTGTATCATATCAGTATGATGAGGTGATACAACCGTTGCATGTACCTACGACTTTCTCGATTTTCTTACTTCTTATCAAGTTAATACAAAAGTTAACAATTAAGACAAAAGAAAGGGGAAACATCATGAAATGTCAACTTCATACCAAATAGCATGGCAGTATCATTCTCTCTCAAATGTAAAACTTACATACCGACCCTTGAAACGTCTCAACCAGAGCACCAGCCCCAGAAGATGCAAAATTCACCCCATCATAATATTGGTGAAAGCCCGGTTGAAGAAAGGGAGGAACAAATGGCAGGTGAGCATACTCAGCTGCAAATTATATAAAATAATATACAAAATATTAGATAAGATCATAATTAATTAACTATAAGCAGACAAAACAAAATTCTGTGTTAGAATCAGCTAACCAAAAGTGGACTTGTACAACCAAGGACCACATTATAAAAGATTTGCAAATCTCACCAATAAAATCTGACATCAAACGTCCGTCGGAGAATCTTCCAGTTGGGAACTTAAAGTAGGTTTCTCCATAAGGCCAGAAGTTGGCCTGGTCAAGAGTTGTGGTGTTGATGTAGTTGTTGTTGCCAGAGTCTAAGTAAGAGTCTCCAAATATGAAGAAGGCAGCTTGCTGCTTTGAGTGCCAAGATTTGCGTCCGCCGCAAGTCGAGATTGCTAAAGCTACATGAAGAAGGAAAAAGAGAGAGACAGAGCTTGGCTTTGCCATGGCTGCAGACTTGTTGATCCCCACATATATTTTACATCAATGTCAAGCAAATATATCTGAGCCACAAAATATATACAGAAAACTTTGTTTTTTAATCTCTCTGAAATTTGGATGAGTAATATAAAATCATCTTTCCTAAATGCAAAAGTTTGGGCTAGTCTACTCTACTCAATATGAGTTTTAAAGGGTTTTATTTGATCATCATATATGTGAAATTATACATCTGGCTCATGAATAAGAAAAGACTTCTTCTCCAACTACATGAATTGCAAAAGTCAAAGTAATTTGAGAATTTGAAAATATCCATTTTGTGAAAGAAAAAATATTTATTAAAAGAAAAAATATCGCTCAAACTAGTACTTGGCGTTGAACTTTGAACGAGATATTTTTTTCCCTTTTTCTAATAGCCAAAGGAAATATTATTGCAGAGGCACTGCAAAGTTCTCAGCTAGCGGCCAACACAGGTTGATTCAGTTAGTAAGGTCTCTGGATTGTGACACTCCATCAATATTGGAGTCCCGCTGCCAGCAATAGTGTATTTGTTTGGTGGGTAATCTGTAAAATTCTTATGTAAATCCATACAGGTGGCTGCGTGGCATACGGGTCCTTGCGTAAGTCCTTCCTGATTAATGTCCGGGTCTGACCCGGGATGTGAGGGTAGCCTCTCCTTTCCCTAAACAAAAAAAATTTCAGCTAGCAATTTGCAAATAAAAATAAGACATAAAGAAAAAAAAATTATTTCTTGGCGGATTGGTGGGTGTGAACGTGTTGAGTTGTACTGATGTCCCCTACAAATTCGAGAAGTCAATTGCTCTTCAAGGCAATATTAGAAACAATCAAACTTTGATTCTAAGGATTGCAAACAAGATTGACGCATTGTTAGATTCCAACAAGACCCAAAATTTTCAGTCTCGGTTATCAATGTATATCAAGCTTGCAAACACATTCACGTGTAAAAATGGAAAGGCATACATGTACAGAGGGAGAGAGACAAACAAATACATGCAGCCAAACCAATCAAAAATAGTCTGATGCATGTTAGACAACGACTATACCCAAAAAAGTATTTTTTAAAAATAACAATGTATATCAAATTTACACCCGTGAACGCATATACATGATTTTTATGGTGTCAGAAAAGATAGCACTATAATTTCTACAATTTTTTCGCAAATGGGAAGTGTTAAACGTGACCCCTTTACCTTTTTGAGATGTGTAATGAGCGTCTTGCATGTCATCATTAATGTTTGAATAAATGAACACCAGGTCCATGGAGTACTTAAAAAGCCTAATTTTTCTTCCTTGCACATCATGTGAAATGGGGAAAGAAATCAAAAGTGCGCAGTACATACATAATTTGACTAATTTAATTATTATTATAAATTTCCCCTTTGCAATAAACAACTGTGTGATTGAGAACGGAAGTGGCTCAAATCAGGTTGTCTGTGAGACCAAGTCTTCGATTTTCTTTAGTTTATTGATATATATAAGCAATAGTCTAATTTACTACAAGGAGAACATGTTTTTTCACACACATAATACCAAGGCACCATAAGAATATGGGAGGCCGAGGGTACATGCGGGCCAGGGCCTCCAAATTGGAAGGACCCTCCACTTTGTGTAAACGTCTATATATACACACACATGTTACTTTTAAAAAGTTAGGCCCAAGTGATTTTTTATGCATTTTGTAAAGTTTTTATGTGAATTACATAATGTTATTTTCTGTTTATGTTACAATTATGACTTTTTTTGGGCCATAGTTACAATTATGATTTTGAGTTCATATAATTTTTTTTTAACTTACTCAAAAAATAAATCACATAAATATACATAAAGGGTAGAAGGTCACATTTTGGTGGTTCGTCTAATACGACCAAAACAATAGGACTGCCTATATATGTATTTTAATGAATCAGGCACATGTACATTTGACTTTGATTTAAAAGAATCGTTACAAGTTTCAAAAAAAGAATCGTAACAAATAAAGAATACATATTCTACATATATATAGAATTCCCACATGGCCCAAACCTCAAACCAGTTGCTTAAAAAGTCTGTTTAATTTAAAATTGTACACTTTGATCTCGATTCCCCATCTGTTCTGTTCTAAAGAGCTAAGCTAGCTAGCTATCAGCTATCACTTTGTTGTTTATGTAAAGATACCCTATCATAGCATCTAATTACAAATGTGGATTAACATGGATGGAGGAGTGCCTAATTATCCTTGCGTGTTGGCAACGTGTTGGCAAAGGCAAATAGCTAGCCTAAGGATTGAGACTTAATTATCTTTGGGTATTAGTGATTGATGTGAAAGATGCATGATTAATAGTTGAATACTTGTGTGGCCCAAATAAAAAGTTTAATACGTCGAAGCGGGAAAATGTTCTCTTGTCAGACTGTCTAAAAACATAAGATGTTTATATTATCAGACTATGAATTTGAATAATAAAATATTTATATTGTCAGACTATGAATCTGAATCATTTATTAAATGAGTTTTTGCCAAGTAATTTATGCTAATAGTCGGGGAAAGATAAAATAGTATTCATGTGGCAACATAAATTTGGGAAATAAGCATTACATATGAAGTATTCAAACTCACAAAAATTAAGTGGGCATAAATGTTCCCAAAGAGACAACAACAAAGGTAAATTTGGTAAGTGAGTTTTGCTCACTCAATAAAAAGCCAACCACAAAAAAACGAGTAATTACCTAATTGGTAAGCAAACCCATCAGACAGCATTAATCTGGGACTTGATTGGTCTGAAGAATAGTTGATTAGGTGTTCTCTAGATTTGAGATGAACCAAATCAACCAAAGTACATAGAATGGGGTCATATTGTGCCTTCCCATGAACATGTGAATATGCTTACCAAACCCGCATAAGCACAAGACATCAAATAACATGTACACTAAACCAATGAACGTCAAGCTCAGATAGGACATCTGTTACAGCTTATTACTTGGTTCTTGATTTCTTGCTCATTGAAATATCCCAGCAATTTTTTCAAGGAAAGAGATTGAATCCATTACGTTTTGGGTTTAATTTCAAAACTTTATTATGTATATTTTGCTGACAATCGAAGTATATTTTCCACCTCTCATATGTACAAAGCCAATGCGCAATTGATGAAGCTGGTGTTGGGGTTGGTAGGAAAAGATGCCTGAAAAGAAGCTAGTTGTTAGAGTAGTATCATAATGGTGACGCAAAAACCATATATCATTGCCATAATTAAGGGAAAGAAACCATGTGATCAAGGGTGGTGAAACATACAGTGTGATGTTTAACTCCAATGGTGTGAACTTCATTTTTCATCGTAAGCTCTTTATAATCAATACTTATGTCACACTCCAGTGCAACCTACCAAAAAAAACAGGGTGAAAAGAAGAAAAAAGGTTGAGATCTTCACTCGGAATCAGAGTTCGAATACCCTCTCTCATTGCGCTGGACGCACAAAAAATAATCTCCCAACCACGCTTGGAATAAGGGAATCAAATCAAGAAAAGAGTGTTTTCTTTCTTGATGAGACTTTCAATCCAATTCTGGTGAACGGGATTTATTCAACAACAAATATGGTTCATTTTGAGTTAGATAACTTGAAAGGCTTGAAATACTGGACACACGCTGAAACGCTTTAATTTTGACCAAATAATGAGATGCTACAAACCTTAATCTTCAACAAAATTATATGAAACACCAAGAGGTGAGCTCCAACATCGCCTGCAATTTTCATTTGAAACATGTTTTTCCTTGAATCGTCTTGCAATGAAGCCTCTGCCACAATCTGGCTGACATTCAAACATGGAAACAGAACCCTTATTTCAACACTCACGTTGCTGCTGTGAGCAGGCTGAAGAAAGCCGGGAATCCGAATTGTTCCTATAGGCAGTCCACCATCCAAAACTTCAAGATGTGAAGAGCTATACCAGATGCCAACCTTGTTAGGATTTTGAGCATTCAGGGTCAATGTGATTGCTGATGAAAGAAACAGGGTTGAATCCGAATAGGCTTCGAGCGTATACAAATCCAAGCTTACAGTTTCGAGGGAAAAAACTGGCCTTTGGGGCTTCATGATGAAGATTACGATCAATGCAGCTACACCAAGAAAAACTATTGCTAGGGCAACAAACAAGAGGAGAAAGAAACTGCATCTTTTGAAAGAATACGCATGGCAGAGTTTTTGCCAACATAAGTAACTTGAGTTGTGCAATGAAACATCCATGGCGGATCATCATGATGTGGGTTTATGCTAATTGACTATACTATTATGTGTTTTATTGATTGTTATATGCAAATACTTGTACAGGAAGGAGGAATTTGATGTCTTTCTTTCGACTGTAGTTTGTGTTATTCCGTTCTAAAGTTATACCAGGACCTTCACACAGGAAACTTGTAAAGCAAGGAAGCACTTTCTCAAACTTGCTTTTCAAGGGGAATTTTATGCTCTCCTAAGTCTCTTGCAACCCCTCTTGTGAATTAGGGAAGACACTTACCTATAACAGGTTGACGTAACCCCCAAGTCTACACCGGTCTTCACCCAATTTAGTCACGTGATGAGCGAAATTATATCAACCCGTTGTTTGTAAGTTTTCTCAAAACTGAAACGGCAGTAGGAACATTCTTCTAATTTTTGGCAGAGCAATCAGAACATATAATATTAGACTGATTTATTACCAGCCTGAAAGGTCATCCAAATGGGGGCATTTCTATGTTTATTTGGTTTTTTATGTTGTGATTCTTCTAAAACACTCGCTTGGGTAGGTGAGATGCCTCTCATTTACCATCGAAAGCTTGAGAAGCCGAAAGAGGTTGGTGTGGTAGGTACAACTTCCCTTGTATTCTAACCATTAGTTAATCATCCATGAAACTTAACCGGCTCTCATTACAGACACACTAATTCAAACCCACATTTTTCAAAGGTCAAATCACAGCCGCCCAATCCCATCAACCTAGAGATCCACCAAATCAAAACCCAACACGGTCCCTCCCCTACCCAATTGGTCATTTGCCCCAGTTGCAAACTTTTTGCACGGAAACATGTGACTAAAGAAAGAGCCATCCAAATCACGTTGGGAGCATACATAGGGTGGTGCTAAAATGATGATGCTTCTCTTCTGCTATGCTTTTCTGCTTCCCCCCACCTCTGAGTCCCATACTGATTTGTCCTATTTCTTGGCTGATGAGGCACATATACATATATGAAGGCAGAGGACACAAAAGTCCGTCAGCCTACCACCACGTGTCGGTCGTATACTTCAAAATTTAACCATTCATGAGAGGGATTACATGTGGCGGACATGCAAAAACACTCTTCACATGGCTGAGGCATATGACAAACCATAAAACCTGGAGGCTACAGCCAATTCCATGCCACATGTACAAGCTAATATACTCCGGATATCTGAGAAAAGTTACCCCACATACTCTAAATTATTAACAGAAATGGCAGGGTCTTTTGGCAATTCCGTCTGCAAACACATCTTGTTGCCTTCACTACAAGTCTACAACCACCAGAGGTCGATACAAAAAACTTTAAGCTAAGAAACTAGTTGAGTTTATTCTCCACAAAGATCCTAACACCAACAACGTAAAACATATGCAAAATTTGATGGCCTCTTATAAAAAGAAAGACCTAAATAAATTTAACGGAAGTTCACAATTACCAGGTTTCAGTATCATCCATCATAGCTCACTCACACAATGTCATGAATACAAACATCAAGTTCAGCAACCCAAATTCTAAGTCTTTGGAGGCGAAAGTAAACCTAATACCTATATGCTCTCCATAGACCATTGCTACGGCTTAAAGTACTCCCCATACAAGCCTTATGCATGTTCAACAGCTTGCACTCCAAACCCAGAGAAAACCATCCTGCAACCACAAGTAAAAAAGCAACCAGGATCTCTTTCTGAATAAAATGAGAGTGAACATGAAACATAAAATTAAACAATGTAGAAGCTGATGCAGAATCAAACTCACTAACATGTAGCTTTATTTACATAAAATAGAATGGATGGGGAAAAGTTCGCTCAGAAACCTCCCCCAACCAGGTCATCGAAGCACCAAAGGTCCACTGAGTTGCCACCATCCTGAGTTGCATCTCCGCTGAGGAAGGCATCCACTGAAGCATCCCAGCTCCCATCAAGATATGGCGTCTGAAAGTACTTCATCTCAAAAGCTGAGAGCTCATCAGTCAGTGTCTTTCCTGCATTATCTTGAACAGGCACCAGATCCTCTGGGTTAGACCTCAGTTTCTTCGTTGGGCTAGCATCCTCCAGAAACAGTGAGTCATCACTTTCTTCCATAACAGATGAAAGAACAGATGATATTTCTGGAGTCTTTGAACCTTGTTCTCCCCAGCCAAAGTCAGAACAATCAAAAGAATTGCTTCCCTGATCAGAGCCGAAATACAGGGGGACAGCATCGGATGGAGTAGAGGATTTCAGCGCAACATCATTGGCAGGGAAGGTGGACATAAACCCAAAGTTATTAGTCGGTGGCTTTTCATCCAGAAAACCCATAGCATTGTAGTAGTCCTGATTTGGGTCATTCACAAAATTGATATTCTGGTTCAGATTAGGCTGAATGGCATTCATGTTTGTCTTGGGTTGCATTTTCTGAGGATTTGCCTTGACAGAACGCTTTGCAGAAGATCGTGGGGTTTCATCAGGGAAATTAACCTTGGCTTTCTTGCCACGAATTCTACGTGCCTCGGAATCATAAGCCCTTGCAGCTTCTTCTGCAGTGTTGAAAGTTCCAAGCCAAACCCGGACCCCTTTCCTTGGATCTCGGATCTCTGCAGCCCACTTACCCCATGGGCGCTGGCGAATTCCCCTGTACTGGTTCTTCCTCTTTCTCTTTGCAGATTTCTCAGCCTGCCCATTGAACTCCACTGATTTCACCGTTGTAGAGCCTTCAATAATTGGAAGAAGAAATATATCAAAGACAAGGATAAAATACACTAAGAAAGTTCATTAATCTTCTTCGATGTAAATCACATGGAAAAAAAAACCTCATGTATTGATCAAAAGGATTCAGAACATGTTTAGGTACAGAGCCATAAGGATTCAAAGAGAAAAACCTTCACTCCATCACCTACGACCCCAAGAAAAAAATGAAAACAAACGCCTGGATCATAGTTATACCAGATGCGATCTTATACAATATGAAAAAGAACAAAAGCTTAATATTATCGCATATGACAAAGATACTGACAAGAAGAAACTTCGATCTCTTCATATTGCTACAAAGCATGATCATCACATGGCATAAAAAACAGAATAACTTGACAGGACATAAGGTATAACAAGCAAATAGTAATTTTTACAAATAAAAATAAAAATTATCGACCGAAAAAATGAAGATATCATCTCCTACGGATCAATAGAAATATATTCCGGACTTGACTCTGGAAATTCCAGTTCACTATGGATCCCAGCCTGATATTTGATTATTTGCAAAATCGACCATAAACCAAATATTAATCCATTACTAGCTAGAGATAATTAACAAAAATTGAGAATTCCTACAAATATTATTTTAAGAACAATGAAAATCTACAGTGATGATTCCTTACATAAAAATTCTATTTTCCCCCTCCCTAAAAATTAATAAACAAAAAGTAATTGATCAAAATCATACAAGATCACCAAGATCTTTCCCTACCCACCTAACAAATACCTCATCAAAAAAAATTATTTAAAAAAACTTCTTTTCTAAAGCGACCAGCTTACACGTACTCAAAATTACAAATCTATAATTTTTTTTAACAAGCAAAAAAAGCTGTTTGCTATAGAACAATAACAAAACTAAATAGAAATTTTATTCAAAACAAAATTTACTCAGAACATTCAGTCACTTTGAAGCCACAAAATTTCATAAATTAAATCGGAAAATATTTATAAACAAAAAAAAAATTACTGTCTACCCCGTGAGCAGAAAAATCAGCAACTCAATTTTCGTATGAAACAAAATAATCCAACAGATTGAATCACCAGAGTTCCAGAACCTATGACATAAAATATTCAAAAATAGCATTTCTAACATCAATCCACCCCTTAAACCAAAAACCCAATACATGCATCACAGAATCAATCAATACACACAACAAACACAAAAATGATGTAAATGCTCAAGAAACAACGACGATAAGAGGTAAGGCTTACCACGAGCAGAAGAGGGCTTTCCAGCAGAAAAAGCAGAGGGCTTGGCCTCAACCATTTCATCATCTTCGTCCACATCAGACTCGTCCTTGAATTCCTGGAAATCAGCCTCGAAGTCGTCGCCTAAGTCAACGATTTCGGGCCTGAGAGGCTTCGAGAACTGCTTTCCTGAACTGGGTTTTTTGAGATCGGGCCAGAGGTAGTCGGCGGTGAGCCGGGACCGAGTCGGCGCTATGAAATCGGATATTATAGCACCTCCACACATTTTTGCTGTTTCTCAGAGGACTTTGCAGCTGGAAAAGGTGTCGGAAAATCGAAAAGCTGGGAATTTTCAGACTAAAATGTATACGACTGGTTTTGTGTTTTGGAAACGAAGCGAGTTAAAAGAGAAATGCTTTTGTTATTTTCTGCTGAATAAGGTGTTTATATATATTTTCTTGCTCGCGGAGGACTGGGGCGGGTGATTCTTTTACTTTCTTGCCCTTGTTTAACGCGGAGATTTACATATGCCGCTGCTTTTGTTCTACAGAACGCCCTTCTGTAATGCTTTTAAATTTACTGCTGCTCTTTTACTGCCCTGTGAAAATACAAAATAGAAAGCAAAAGTGGCAGATGAATTTTTATTTTATTTTACTTCAAGGACTATTTATTGAACATGGTCATTTTAAATTTACTCCCGATTCTTTACCAAAACTATATTCTATTCTATTAACGTTGAACTTGTATTGTGTTTTAGTTTTAAATAAGAAATCTATGAAAGGGAGTTCATTAAAAAATAGAAATTTTTGCGCGTGTTTCGTATTGCATTGGACATTTGTAGATATATACAACTTTGTGTGCGACGGTATATTCTTTTAGATTTTCGGTGGTAAATATGTCGAATTTACTTTAATTTCTTATTACATCATGTGCCAATAAATACTCCTAACTACAAGAGTCATAAGTCCTTGCACTTGCGTAATTATGATGACAACATGAGTTTTGAAGTCACTTGCGTATTTATGATTGTCATTGAATTTTTACAGTACTTTATATTTTTAAGGAAATTTTCTCGGTATGAAAATGAGTAATTATGTACATAAAGAAAATGACATTTTTGTTAACGTTAGTCGTTCTTACGTATAGAACATCCTACAATTGTCTCCTTTATTAATCGGTGTGAGTGTGTATTAAGTCTTGAGAAAGTAATAATGATGTTTAGTCATTGCATAATACAGAGATACAGAAAGGTTGGAACTTGGCAAAAACATAGAGTTTGGCATTTCTCGCCTTTTGGAGTTTTCCATTGGCAAATTTGGCTTCGGAGGTCATTAAAAACCTCAGATATTGTCACAGCCACTTTGTGGAATGTGGAAGAAAATCTGACGAATTTTGTATAAAAAAGAATTCCATCATTATTTACATCTATCAAAGCTTTTCTTAACTTAGAAATTACCCGACAATACTTATGAGAGCTGATTTTCTCACTTCTCTTTTGTCCACTTACACTCCTTTGGTTAGAAATTGTGTGTTCCCACTCATTTTTTGTCTACATACACTCCATTTTTTGTTTTAGTAAAAACTATTAAAAAACAAAAGGGAGTGTAAGTGGACAAAAGGGGTGTGGGAAAATCATCACCCTATCTTATTTGCTTCAAATAAATAAAAATTAAATGAGATTACTAAGAGTGAAATTGTATTATAAAATGTTTCGACGCTAATCACTAGTGGAACTATTCATTATATATTGTATTTTATCTTGTCAAATTTCTTATGTGAGACTTTTACATTCTTCAACAAATACGATGACTCTCAATTATATATTCGGATTTAATTAGAGGTAAATTACTTTAATAACCCCCTATATTATTATTTTAAAAAAGTGGATTCTCAAGATTAGGTAGCAAAATTTTGGAGGATTTATTACCTTTCGTGGGCCTTATTTATTGAGATAGCTAGCTAGAACTCTTTGGCCATATATATCTTACCTAACTTTCATAAGTCCACCTCTATGAGGAGGACTGGTTTACCCTCACCCTCTTTTGACCGGAAATCATTGAAATGTTTGAACCACACCTAACTTTTCTTGAACTCACGAGTTTCACAAAATCAAGTCCATTTTTAATTCCTTGCCATTTCATTTCAAACAGTGACGTCGTTTTGACATCTTAATTAAAGAGAAATTATAACCCATGCATGCATAAGCAACTGATTTATCATATGATTTTCTGGACTCAACATAAGAAACCTTTGTACGTTCGTGTTGGTCAAAACACAGAAGAAACCGTGTCAACAACACATGTTCTGTGTCCGGGAATCAAAAACGTGCACATTTTGCAAAATGCTTTGGTCACTAGAAATCCTTTTTTGACTTCTAAACAAAATTACTTTTGTTATAAGTTGCAACATATGTTATTTCTTTACCTCACTTTAAACACGTCGTTAAAAACTTTTCTTTTATTCGCTATCTCATTTAAAATTTCCGTACGTGTCGACGACTTTCAGTCATTAATTAATGTAACGTGTATTGTGAGATTTATATCAATTAAAGACGACAATTATTTTAAAATCGTTAAAAACAACTAGCCTCTCAATACTAGTCATGTGTTCAACTTATATATCATGGAATATACCTTGAATCATGCCTATGTTCTTCATTAATTTCTCCAATCATGATATATTGGATAGCTCCGGGTCATGTTTACAACAGTTGCAAGCAGAATTTCTCTCCCAATTTCACACCATCGATCTGTCGTAACGCAATTGGTGGATCAATCTGTTGTTGACCAGTTACCCACCACCGTAAAAAAAACTCAGAAGAGCAACATGGCAAATTCATACACTGAAGAGGGGTGAAATGGGAAGGGGAAAAATACTACTGTTTTACCGCGGTAATTTGAGAAGTTACTGTACATGGTGAGGTCTCTCAGGCATGTGAATGGGTTAAAAAGTGAAAATATATATTTTAAGCAACGGAGGAAAGGAGGTTCATGCATCAGAATATGGTGCAATTAAACGAGGAACGAAAAAGATAGGAAAAAACTAAACGACAAATCTTTAAAAGTTAAAATAAACAAATGAGTGGGACCCTTATTCGGTGTGGGACTTTTTTTTTAGGGTCGAATGTGATATATCACAATGATAGATATTTGATCGATTATTTTTGTGAGGCTAACTTTGTATTGTATTTATGCGGAACGGAACGTGAATGATATAAGATAAACCATTTTCTGTAACTTGGTTGACGTGCAGTTGTATTATTTTGCCAATTTATAAGCATTCTTTCGGGGTCCAACTTGCTTGGGTGCCTATTACTGCATATGTAGTAGTAAACGCCTTTCTACCAAGTGGGATGTGGAACACTTCTACACGATTTTGCAATGGATGCTGTAATTATGATTAAGTTTGATTAATTATGTGATTCGTGCACAAATTTTTAACCTTCTAATAGGAAGTTAAACTCTTTTTTTTTGGGGTCCGGTAATTGGGTTTTGTTTTGTTGGAAAATTATATACTAGATATAAAGGGACAATAAACTAGCTACAAAGTGCCATTATAATTACGAAGAAATTTAATATTAATATTAAGACAATCTAATGTGTTTTCACTAATGATCATGCAGCCGAAGAAACTATAACATAAGCATCCCAACTAAGATTACAAATCAAAAAGAGATAAGACTTAAAAAAGACCAAACCTAAACAATACAAATAAGAACTCTCACAAAAAAGTAGTGAAAAGTTCTCAGAAATGATAGATGAAAAACTCTCATAAATGAAAGGTGAAAACTACATTAAAAAAAACCCCGAAGTGAGTTTTTGTGACTTATTCTAAAAATAAAGAAACTAAATCAATCGGATTGCAACCTTGTTATTACAAAGCCAATTCACTGTTCGTAAACACCAAAAGATAACAGATATGCACCGATTGACTATCATGTTCGACAAATATGGCAGATACATCGAAAAAGATTGATGATATAATTGAGTTTAAAATAGTTTAAACTTTAAAATATGTTCTTCAAATGATCTTATCTTATCCACACCTTTTGATGTAAATCAAGTTTTGTCACATGCTATCACTATTTTTATTTGTTTGTTGCTAAACAAAACGCATTTGCAGCTTTTTGTCCCATTTTGTCCCCCATTCCTCTTAATCAAGTGAGCCTAAAAATTTAATTGCCGACTTAAGTGTCCTCTCCAACGTTGAGTAAACAAATTAAGATATTATTATGATGATTTTATATTAACATTTGAGGAGGGTGATGAGGTGGCAGAGGAGCTTGTGCTCTACACTCTTTCATGATTCACTTATTGACATTTGGTTATTTTTTTTATTTATAAATATTCTTTGGGATATATAATAATAATTACTAGGTAGAACCATTAGTACGTACTACCATATTATATACAAATAATCTTAAATCAAGTGCTCAAGTGGCCAAGTGGCCAAGTGGCCAAGTGGAGGATCTTCTTTGGTACTCCTAACCTAGCTGTCTTCTATTCAAAAAGTGCAAAACCAATTTTAGGTTTATTTTTTTCCTAAAATTTCTTTTGCTATGAGTTCATCATCTTTATGCGTAGAGTAAGTATATTATAAAAAGTGATCATAAAATGATAAATCCCCAAAATAGTTTTGCATATAGTTATTAAGGCTATCTTCAGCAGTCATGGGCTATATCCCAAATATAGTCCTAAAATAATGCAAAACTCATCTCCAGCTATGGGATAAACAAAATTTTGGCCGAATTTGGAAAGCCACATTTGGCCCTTTAGCCCTCCAACTGGGCCACATTTAGCCCAGCTTTGGCCTAGTTCTACGCCAAATTTTTTGTGGGCTCCATGCATGTGCTTTATATTTATGATGTCAGATGGATATATATATATATATAAAAGCCTTTTTAAATGTTTTCAATTAGTAAAAAAATTATAAAATATTATTAGTCATGATTGTTGGATGTCAAACCATTGAAACCCATCCTTTAAAAAATAATAATAATGTAGTCACATTTTCAAATGTTTTCAAGTGTTGTTTAAAAATTATAAAAAATTCTTGGTCATGAAATATTGTCTCTAAATAGTAGTTTAATTAAATTAAACAATACATAGTTGTGGAATGTATGTGGTGTACCATAGTTTTCTCAAAATAATAAAATATGAAGGACCTTAAAATATAGCCATGCATGGCTGGAGATGGAAAAATTTAACCCTACACTATTCTTTAATATTTTGGAGGGCTAAATTTTTAGCCCCGGACTACATTTAGCCGTATGATTGGAGATGGCCTAACATGTCATCTATATGGATTCGAGATTGGTTAAAGTTATCCATATAGCAATATCTTCGATATTTATCGATATTATTGCAATATTTTGGCTAAATGTTGTTAAAGTTTGTGAGAAATTATCGATATCAATATTTTCTGATAATATCGATAATTATATGATATGTGTATGGATATGTTCCAAAATAGCCTAAACAAAAAAAAAACGATAATATCCTTAATATTTCATCAATATTGTTTTATTTTAGACTTTGCTCATCTCTTATTTCTCAACTCTCTCTAGATCTGTCATCCAATTTCGTTGTAGAGCCTAGTTGAAATTAATTGAAGGATTAGTTGGTGGATGTTAAGGGCTTTTAATTAGTTTAAATAAACTTAAAGGTGTACTAGGTTAGAAGAAATATAAAGAATTGCCATTTTATCAAAACCAAAACCAAAACCAAAGCCGAAATCAAAACCGCAAACCAAAAACCAAAACCAAAACCAAAGCCGGAATCAAAACCAAAGCTGTGCATATTTTATAGTAATTTAAAGTCACGACCTTGAACAAATGACAAAACTCAACACATAATCACATGATTAGTTTATTCCCAGTTGGGAATAATCTTGTGTACATTTTTTAAAAAAATTCTTTAAATTGATAATGCTTAAAGACAAGTTGTCGACCAAGTTGAAATATTACATTGCATAATATACCTCATAAAATAGTGAATTCAAGTTATTTGGCTTTACCCATAAAGACAAGAAGGAATTCCATGCATCCATTATGTATACAATTTCAAGACTAGGAGCGGCCACCATATCATCCATGTCACGCCAATTTGGGAAAGGATTCTCTCTCTCTCTCTCTCCCCAAAGTAATAATTATTCTTTTAGAATTGAGGCAAAAATAAAAAAATAAAAAATGTATTTTCTTAAATTTATATAAAGGTAGAGAAATCAATAGAAACAAATGATTTCTATTGAGTCGGTAGTGCTCTGTACGCATTTAGACACGGGGAAGGATTATCCATTTTTGGTATTTTGTTTTTGTGGCTAGTAAAGCTTCCAAGTTTGTAACAACCATGAACACTATTAGGATCGTTACGTCGGCCGATCCATTCACATCCAAAAATCCTGCAATTTAAAGTTGTTTTCCCCGGAATACCATGCATATAAAGAGAACCCAAAATTAAAACATTCATCATGGCCACAATTTAAAAAGATTTTCCCTTTCAGTTTCTTCATTTTTATATCGCATTTTTACACAAACGAAGGAACTTTGAATATATCTAACACTTACATAAATATATCTAACACGCATTGTTTACATATACTAATAACATGTATCTAGAGTTTATCGCAACATACGAAAGTACGGATCGTGAGATTTTTTGGCTATTTCAAAAAGGATAGACATCGGCTGTGAAAATTATAGCTATATGGACCACTTTGATTCGTCATCACACTCACACACATGCAAGAGGTCTTGTAGTCCAAGTAAGCAACATGCATATATCTTTCATGTCATTTTCTTCAACCGATTAAGGTACTTTCTTTGGCGTTTGGCAAAGATGATGTCAAATTTTAGAGGTGGAGGTGACTGGTGAAGAAAATGATGCTACGTGCACACTCACGGTATATTTTGTCATCTCCCAAGGGACAAACGTTAGGTGTGACCTCAGATGATCAAGTGGCCTGCATTTTGACATCGGCTGGGAGAATCATGCTTTTGATTTTCCATCGTAATCTATGTCTTCTAAATTTTATCATTCAACAGTCAAAGATCAAGTAACAAGTCAAATTGGGTACGCTTGAAACCCTTTTATTTTTATTTTGTTACTTGGCCTGCTCAAATATTACAAACTCATACCAAATGTTAGGCCCATTTTCCATGAAGGGGCTTTCGGTGGGCTTGGAGCAATTTTGATTAGGCAAAACATCACCCCAACTCATAACCACAAAGCTTTAGTAGGACGGCTAGGCCTTTTCGTTGTCCAAAGTCAGTTGGGCCACAAGATTACTTGAAACCCAAATACTTTTTCGTAGCGGTAATTGTCTCCATTTAGTTAAAAGAGGTCGTAATGTTCAAATCTTTAAGTTAAAAGATTCAACACGTACGCCCAATCCATGTCCGTACAAGTAAATCCAACATGTAGAGATGGTAACATGTACGGCCCAGCAGGGGCCGGATTTGTTATTTTCGTCTCTACTCGTCTGGATAACATGACCTCAATCAGGTATAAAACCATTGTACATTTTTTCAATTTGTTTTCTTCACATAATCATCTTGTATTATCACAACAAACAAGTAGAAAAATATTACAACCACAAACACATGATGTGTTCATAACTATTCCTGTCCCCATTAGGTGTAACCATGAAAAGGGCTTTGCGGAATTGGCGGGGAAATTGCGATCCCAAACGAAGTCACATGGCCCATCCAACAACAAAACAAAGAAATTGAGAAAAAGGAAGAGAACCGTGAAATGACTAGCTTCCACAAAACCTAGCTAGTGTAGTGAGACATGTGAACCTGACCACAGATGCATGCCCCACGTTACATAGGTCATATCTGGCAGGAAGGAAAATGCCTCTGCTATTTATGGACTACGCTATCGTTGAATTCTAATAATGGGAGAGGCTTCGGAAAGCACTGGTCCCTCCAATATGTAAAGTCAGCTTGCAACTTGCCCTTGCAAAGTTGCACCTTGTGAATCAAACTTGATAGCATTGATTGGCCAGGACAATGCCTGTAATTTCTACATCAGGGGTGCCTAGGGTGTTTGGTTTCTTAGAACAAGCCAAGACATGTGTGCTGCCTGGCCTGTCTCTCCAAATGCGATAGCCAAGCTTGAGATCATATTTCGGGTTTTTGTTGTTGTTGTTCTTCTATGTAAGGAGATCCACACAAACGAATTAGTTAAATGGTGAATGTCACGGATAATTGTATGAATACACATTTCTCACAAATACGCAAAATTGTTATTTAAAAAAGAACAGGACATCATGATTTTATGAGCAAAGTAAAACAAAATATCAACCGCTAAACACCGTGTTACAATGGTCAATAGATTTACAGAACCTCCCTAATAAGTGACACTTTCCAGCTAATAAGTTGCTTTTGTCAAACGGATTAATTAACCTTTTGCATAAACTTGTAGGCAGACAGATCCTGATGTTATTGCTTGTGTTTTATAGTTAAAAGCATCGGGTAGGACGTCAAATTGTCAATGGATTGAGATTGAGAGGTAATAAAGTTTAAATTAAATCGAGTGGAAACTTAAAAGGGGATTCCAAAAAGCCTTGGTTATTTAGATTGCATGAGGTCAAATTGATCTTGCAAAAAGCCTAGACAACTGGTTCGTTGGATCTTCTCATTAGGCATGCACATATTTCAAACACACCACACAATTTATGGGTTTTTAATCATGAATAATTTACCATTTTATATCATAATTTGACCCATCAAGAAAGTAGTTTGTCTGATTTGCAGATTTAGTCCAGAAAACGCCATGTCGTCGCTTCAAGTGCCCCACATGATTCTTCTTGTCATAATGATTGTCATTAGCTCAATGTTTACGTGCACAAAGAAACTTTGACAACAAAATCATATTGCAGGAAACAAATCATATTGCAGGAACCAAAATCATATGCTTCACAAATCTTACTTATAAACTGATCAGAACGATGTAGAGATCAAGAAATATACATTAAAGACTACAAAACAAAAACCATCCTTTTTTTTTTTTTTTTTTTTTTTTTTTTTTTTCTTATCTAACACAACCAACCAAACCCCACCAGTTTTCTGGAGTTGAAAACCTTGAAAGTACACATTCTCATTATACATACATATTTATATATAGAGAGGGAGATAAGTTATGACTTTTGTAACAAGGTCTAAGGAGCGCAAAATTCCTAAAACCCGAAACCCGAAACCCGAAACCCTAAACACACACACACAAACACCTAGAGAGGTTGTTGCATTGTCACAACCAAGGGGCTAGTCACAGTGTGCTTCCCATCAGACCAAACTATAGAACCACTCTTCACACTAGTGCTACCAGGGGATAGCTTCGCTGCCAAGGCTTGCACCCTCACAAGAAAACTTAACTTCTGCCCCACCCTCCTAAACGCAAGCTTCTCTGGCTCCACCGTCACCGTCATCCCTGCTGCCGGCTTAATCGTCACCTGATAAACTGAATTCGGCGTACCCACATTCGTCACGGTCCGAATAAAATGAGTAGACATCTTATGCTTTCCATACTGCTGAAACACCACAGACAAGGAGGGGTAATTTAAGTTCCCAGAATGCCCTGCCCTCTTAGCCCCATTGCAATTGGCAAACTTCCTAGTCACCACCTGGATGTTCTTAGTGGTATAATTGGAATTGCACAAGAAATCCACGTAATCGTAAGAGACAATGTCATAGACCAACCCCGGGTCCATTGCCTTTTGCGGGTGGACATGACCCGCCCCAAAGTCCATAACGCTGGAAGTGTTGCCGCTGGACTCGTCCAGCATGGTCTCACCCCGATTGTCCACGGTGTATGCCGTGGTCATCAGGGCGGATCTAATGGCGGCCGGGCTCCAATCTGGATGCGCCGCTTTCAACAGCGCCGCCAAGCCGGACACGTGTGGGCAAGCCATTGATGTTCCCGAGAGGATATTGAACTCCGTGTTTCTCTTATCCGAAGCCACGCCCGAGGGCCCGACTCTATCGGGCCAAGCCGCCAATATATTCAGGCCGGGCGCGATAACATCCGGCTTCAATATCTCCGGAGACTCCGGGTTCGGTCCACGGGCTGAAAACGACGCCACGACTGGCGCGGGCCGGACCCCGATCCGAGTCCCCTTGAACACAATTGTCGCTGTAGCTGGGGACTTAGAGTTGGATGCGGCGATGTATCTCCTGATTTCGTCGCCCGTGGAGGCAGCGACGGCGGTGGCGGGTAACACGTGGCAGTCAGCTACTAGTCCTTCGCCGTCGAAAACCCCGTTCGCGAGTATCATACCAACGCCTCCGGCTTTCTTCACCACGTCACCTTTCGCGGCTCTTGAATTAATTCCTCTGTCGCAGACGACGATTTTCCCTTTTACTTGACTCAGAGAACCTTCTAGACACAGAGACGAGGAGTAGCCATCGCCGCCTACGCCGCCCGCGTAAACCAGCGGGTACATCCTACCCGGAGCGAGACCAGGCCCGGAATAGATGCTCATGCCCGGGATTATTCTGCCGTTCCCGAGCTTCACATCGGCCGGGAAGTCCCTGTCGATGGTTCCCGCGCCGACGGTTGTCACCCACGGTGCCACATTGGTGACGGTGAGCCCTCCGGGACCGCCGTTGCCGGCGGAGGCCGAGACGAAGACGCCGGCGTCGGAGGCTCCGTACGCGCCGATGGCTATGGCGTCGAGGTGGTAGGGGACGACGACGCCACCGACGCTGAGGGAAACGACGTCGCAGCCGTCGGCGACGGCGGCGTCGAACGCGGCGAGGATGTCAGAGTCGTAGCAGCCGGCGCTCCAGCAGACCTTGTAGGCGGCAAGCCGGGCCTTGGGAGCCATTCCGGCGGCAACGCCCTTGGCGTAGCCGAGAGTGGACGCCGGGAAAACGTACCTCCCGGCGGCGATGGAGGCAGTGTGGGTCCCGTGGCCGTCGGAGTCGCGGGGGGAGCGGTACTCTGTGGTCTCGTTCATTTTTCCGTTGGTGGACTCGAAGCCTGAGGAGAAGAAGCGAGCGCCGATGAGCTTGCGGTTGCAGATGGTGGCGGGGAAGTCTTTGCCGGCGACGCACTGGCCCTTCCACTTGGAGGGGGTGGGGCCCAGGTCTCGGTCGTGGAATGACTTGCGTTCAGGCCAGATGCCGGTGTCGATGACGCCGATGACAAGGTCGGACCCGAAATCAGACTCCCTGAGGAGGGTACCGGCGGCGTCGGTGGAGCGGAGGCCGAGGAACTCGGGAGAGCGGGTGGTGTGGAGTTGGCGGACTTGCTCGGGGATAATGGCGGTGACGTGGTCAAGGGACTGAAGTGTCTGGGCTTGGGATGGGGAAAGCTTGGCAGAGAAGCCATGGAAGACAGTAGAGTAAGTGTGGAGGACAGTGGGGGCAGTGGCTTTATCAGAAGAAAGAGAGGAGAGAGAGGAAGAGTACCAGTCTTGGTGGGTTGGGAAAATGGAGGGTTTGGAGCTTGGCTGGACTTGGACTATGAAGGTCCTTGCAGCATTATTAACATTATTATTATTATTATTATTATCAGAAGAAGAAGAAGAAAAAGAAGAGGGTAAGTTGGAGAAGGAGAGTGAGATTATGAGGAGATAGAGAAGAGAGAGAGCCATTGGAGAGAGTGAGAGTGAGCTTGAGCTTGAGCTGCTTCTTCTTCTTCTTCTACTTATTGCTTATGGATGAAACACATTAATGAGTTTAATAATAAAAAGTGAAAAAAGAAGAGTGAGATTGGGTGGTGGTGTGGTCACTCTATTTGGTACTTGATTTCATCACTTGGGTTTGGGTTTGATTCAAAATTCAATTGAAAATTGAAAGCATTGTGTAAGTGGTATTGCAGACAGTGAGGAGAGAGAGAGAGAGAGAGAGGGGGTACAATTACAATCAATGTTTAGGGGGGGGAACTATATGGTCTATGTACTTGTACAACTTTACTGTGTAGTTTTCATTGGCACAGGAAAGAAGAGGAGGATATGGTTTTTTGTTAGTGGGTTTAGTAACTTTTTTGCTAACAAAATAGTGGAATGTTTTGTCTTTATTCCTGTGTTCTTGGATGTGATGTTTGAGTGGTTTTTGCTTACACCTTTCACTCCTTTCAAAAAAACCTAAGGAGGAAATTTAAGAGAATCTTATGCACCATGTAATTTTTTCTTATTGTTGGTTAGTGACTTTGTGGATCAGTCTGCTTAATTAAGCTATATTTGACTGTAAAAAACAGTAATTCATACAACAGTGACCTGTTTAACAAGAGAATATTTTCCGAAAAACATAGTGACATATTGCCGTATAAAAAGCAATTATAGTCTCTTTTCTTTAGGAGTGTTGCTAAACGAACCTTAAAATTAATTGAATTCACCCTATAATCTAAGTACACCTTAATATTTAAATTAAAATATAAAATTAACTAAGCACACCCCATTTAATTATCAAAAATACCCCTATACACTCTATCATACAACACCAAACCTAATGCCTCCTCTGCAGCTGGAGATGATTTTGTTGAAGATATTACAGCCATTGTAAGTTGTTTTGGATTTGTTTTCCGATCTCTAGTTATTACTGGATGAATTTAAAATTAACCTACAACCCTTTGAAATTTCTACATAGGCAGCCAATGCTCATACTGGTCGTCTAAATCTGTTCCGTAGGTCCCTATTTTTAATTACTCTTCCTTCTTCCTTTTTGTAGTTCCAGAACCAAATAATAAATAGAAAAACAGAAAAATGAAACCAAGAGAATGTTCTAAGTTTGAAGGACTCAACTTTCATCCAATAAATTATTTATTTATTTTTCCTCCTCGTATGAATCATCCACAACCCCTTAAAGAACCTATAGGAGTGGACTCCATGGAGCATGTATCCGCTAGAGTGTTATCTACCACCAATGACCAAGATCTGTATCAAACAAACAACTTCATGGCATTCCCTTGCGTTTGATTAGGGTTGAATATGGTGAATATAGTGTACTTATTAAAATAATTTGTTTTACAATTCAATATATTCATTTTGGTCATTTTATATTAGGATAAATTAGTAATTCAATAAATAGTTTAATAGTAGGGTGTATTCAGTTAATTTTAGAGTTCGTTTAGCAACACTCTTCTTTATGGCTCATTTGAAAGTAATTTTAAATAGGCTAATAGTCACTTATATGGAGAATCATTTCTCCATATAACCACTTTAAAGTGGTTTGATTTTATGGAGAAGCATCTTTCATGTGCTTTTCCCCAAAATCACTTAAAATCACTTAAAGTAATTATATGGAGAAGCACATGAGAGGTGTTTCTCCCCCTAAGAGCAATTCCACCCATGGTGCCATGGTTAACGGCAAATAAGGGCAAACACTATTTGCGTGAATAATGATTGCCCCTATCCTTTTTATTTTGCTTTTCAACCCATTCTCATGGCTAGTAAATGCAAGCACTTTTCACATTAGATATGAGGAGAGCAATTTGTATGGAGTTTTGTTGTGAGAAGTGAAGAATATGACTAGATATTTAGAGAAATAATAAAAAATCTGAAATTTTTGGTTTTTTTTTCTTTCCTTTTTTTAATTTAAATAGATTGCTTATGTCAATATGAGATCAGCAAACCCAAGCAGCATATCAGGCAATTCTTGCCTTCAGGTTGGCTTGGGTAAATGGGGTCCATTTTTGCCTGGGCCACCTTTCGTTACTAGGGGCTTGTTCCAAGCCTGGGCTTCCTTTTGCCCTGACAAATGAGCACCGATGGAAGTGCTTTAAGTAATTATAGCCCTCCCAAAATCACTCATAAACGAGCCTTTAATAGTTCGAATGGGTGTTTTCATGTAGATAGGAAACCAGAAATCAAACATGCCAACAAGACAAAATGGAATCTTCAATCTATGAATGAGACACCACCCAATTTTAAATTACATTAAATATCATCAACTAAAAATATATATATACATATATATTTATATATATGTATATAAATAGAACGTAATTTGCAACGAATCTACATTGCATACTAAAAGTAGAGGTCTCTGCAAATGGTCTCACAAGCTTATTATTCACTTCTCATTTCTTTCTTTGCTGTTACTTCTAATATTAGTAAACTATATATATATATATATATATATATAAAATATAATAATATATCCATATATGACGTTTTGTGTCGAATTGGATCCGTGACAATGATCTGGTCTAGATTCTGGACGGTAGAAAAAGGCCTAGGCTTGCTTGCTGCCGCTTACGTGTGAGTTCGTATGGGAAGTTGGGATGTTTTTTTTATAAATATATTATATATTTGTAAGAACATCTCCAACCGATGTGTCAAATGTGCCACATATACATTTAACAGCTAAAAATAACATCTCACATTACTCCAACCGATATGTCAAAGCTGATGTGGAATGAAGGCTGGAGGTTGAGATGTTATTTTTGACATCTCAAAAGCAAGATGTCAAATGAATATTTTATTATTTTTTATTTTATTTTCTTATTAATTAAAAATGAATCAACACTAAAATGTAATAAAATAATAATTTAATTTGACATATCGGGTGGAGTGTAAAGCTGTATAAGATGTCAAATTGCCACATCAGCCATCAAATTTAAATTTGATGTTTGGTATTTGACACCTCCCTTGGAGATGCTCTAAAAGCCTTTTTAGTTGACAGAGTAAAAATCTATTTGTATTTAGAAATGTAAAATAATAAAAAATTGAGTGTGTTCAGTCCAGTGTGGGGGTACTAGTTGTGTGGTCATAATCGAACACGAAATTTAATTCGGAAATGTAATATTATTATTATTAATATATAAAAAGCTGAATGGGCACACGTGTTTATGTCTTCTATGTCATGTCACACGTGGGTTTCTTCTTCTATGCCATGTCAGAGAAATGGTTTCTTCTTCTATGCCATGTCACGCGAGGGTTAATTTGTATCGCCAATTGCAGCTAATTAATCACCATTTCAACTATACACCAACTTCCTTTCCCCAAATCCTCTCTAATTGGGGTTACTGCATGACTTGATGCAGAAATGTGTACATAATTACTTACCCTCAGCCTTCGTTCATTTGGATAAAGGTATTTGAAAGAAATGATTTGGATTTGACGACAGAGCTAAATTTATTAAATAAAACTAGAAAACGTTAGATTGTACGTATTTTAAAAGAGTCTAATGAATTTGAAATGACCATATGCAATGAGTCGTTTGAAATCCATTTGTGTTCTTCATTTCTTTCTTCTTCTTCAAAATGCTTTAAGATACCTTGGGACCTTGGGGGTAATATTTTTCATGACAAAAAAGTTCACCTAACTAAAAGTTAATTTTGTTTTCGTCCCGTTTACCTAATTAAAGTTGCAAGAGACAAATAATGTCGTTGAGTTATTCTTGTAACCAACTGCTCCAGTTATGGCAAGGCAAAGGGGTCTCCGCAATGAAAGACTAGTTGCTGCTGTGATTTACTGCTCAGGGTGTGAGCATGCATGCGCATGAATAATATGGATACTGCGCCTATAACTGTACTCTGAACTTATAGAGTTATGCCGTTGTTGATGCAAACAAAGTTTTTGTTCAGAGTTGCACTTGTGCAGAATGATCCATAATATTGTGAGGACAAGTGAAATTTTTGTTTTTTTGTTTTTTTTTATACAAGCGATATTGGTAGAGAGGAAATTAAACTTAAGACTCAGTGCATCTGTAAATACTCTTAATAACTTGAACTGAAGCCCCTTGCGGACAAATGGAATTATTTAGCGGCAATTGATAACAACAATATAACAACAAGTTTTATATGTGTTATTCATTAAACCTACTCTTAATCCAAATTCGCAATCATTTCGTTGTTTTTTTTTCTTCTCAAAACGACATGTACGTCAAAATTTGAAGCACACATCTACACCACATTAAATTGGGAACTTACACACTGCATTTTTACAGTTCTGTGACTTGTCCTCTCTCTGAGCAATGTGTGTGGCCCAAGGATTTTAAGAGTTCATTGACTTGAAAATCCAATCGTTGCCGCAAGAAGCCTCCGGAGGGCACAATACAAGGTCTCCCAAATTGACTCTTGAGTTGGTGGTGTAAATAAACTCCTACTAAGTTAATTAAAGTTGAAAGATACTAATTTTGCCCTTTTTTTTTATTCTTGTCACTAACAACATATACGAATTATTATTCACTAACAAAGGTGTCTTTGCAAGATTTTTCTGTGCTTTAATATTTATATATCGGGAGCTCTGTGCGGTGGCATCATTTATACACCCTCTGAGCTGTCCCTGCTAATAACATATCCGAATTATTGTTGATAATGTGACCTGCTTTAGTTATGGCCAAGGAGGAAGGAGTCTCTGCAAGACTTTGCTGTGCTTTAATAATGCCAACAATCTTATCGACCTAGGCAATAAGCCAAAAACCTAGCTTGTATGCACTGTCCGTGACGAATGCGCCATGATTTGTTGCACAATTAATTTTCTTAATTACGATTTGGATGTATTATTAGCATATTCTTCTCGTCTATGAATAATTATGAGAGAATATGTTTGTACGCTCAAATGTCAACCACACACACATGCACTTTGACTTCAACCCTACAAACAAAATTTGCAATGATTTTATGTTTTTTTTTTCTATACGAATTTGG